ACACACACACACACACACACACACACACACACAGCCCCTGCCCTCAAGGAGCTTACAGTCTAATAGGAAGAACAACTTGCAAACAAATATATACAAAGCAAGACAGGATCAATAGGAAATAAATGACAGAAGAAAGGCATGGGGATTAAGAGGTTGGGGAAGGCTTCCTGTAGGAGGTGGGATTTTTAGTTGGGACTTAAAAAGGAAGCCAGGGTGGTTTGCTGGGAAGTTCACATAATTGACTGAAGCCCTTCTTATAGTGTGTTAAAATTAATGTAAGATTCTCAGACTTTTCTTATCAAAGATGAGGAACCAGACAGGGAAAAAGGAATTTATGACATCTACCTTATGGGGCAGCTAGGTGGTGCTGGACCTGGAGTCAGGAAGACTTATCTTCTTTAGTTCAATCCAGCCTTGGCCACTTACTAGCTGTGTGACCCTGGACAAGTCGCTTTATTTGTTTTTTCTTTTCCTTTTTTTAGGCAATTGGGGTTAAGTGACTTGCCCAGGGTCACACAGCTAGTGAGGGTCAAGTGTTTGGTCTGAGGCTGGATTTGAAGTCAGGCTCTCCTGACTTCAGGGCCTGGTGCTCTATCCACTGCGCCACCCAGCTGCCCCTTGGGCAACACTTTAACACTGTTTGCCTTAGTTTCCTCGTTTGTAAAATGAGCTGGAGAAGGAAGTGGCAGATCGTGCCTGTATCTTTGTCAGAAAAACCACAAATGGGGTCAAGAAGAGTTGAACAGGACTGAAAAATGGCTTAATAATGACAAGCCTTATTTATGGTCACCTTCCTTGCAGTTGAAATGCCCAGCAGATCTTTTCTTTGTTTATTGATAAATCTACCACCAGCTTCTAGCTGTGAAGTTATCTTTTGGCATGTAACTCTTTCCTCTCAATTAGCCCTTTGTAAACTCTCCATATGTAGCCTTGAAGTGTAAATCTCAGAGACCTAGCTTTGAAAGGTAATTCTCTTTTGTTTATCTCTATAGGCCAAACTATTTGTCTTTGTTTTTCCTTTCTTTGAGTTATGGGTGAGAATCTATTTTCCCTTTAGCACAGGTATAAGATAAAAAATTAATAATTACTGAAATTATTAAAAATTATTTCTTTGTCTTTCTAATGTAATTAAAAACTACATAAGCCTTGTCAACTCTTTGATCAGGGCCCCTGAGTTTAGTAATTCTGGGTCTGTGCTTAACTGTCTAAAAAAGCTTGGTTTTGCCTTCTGGCAACAGTACCTATCAACTGACTCCATGGGTGTTTTCCCATCGAAGCACTAACAAGGCAGGGTCCCCTTCTGCTACGATACATCTCAGACAGCCGGCTTACTTAAGGGGGTCCTATTTCTGTGTTCCTACCTTCATATGAAACCTCTAGACCATTGGCTTAGTTCAGTGGAGTGTTGATTTAATGCCTTCAATATATTCCAACACTGTCCTGGGCATCCCAGAGATCTATGGCATGGCCTCTTAGAAAGCTTTCAGTCTGGGAGAATGAAGCAATCAGAAGAAAATAAAAATATGCCACACCTTTAGATACAGTAATATATCTATTAATGACAGATGTATTTCAACAACACACTTAAATGTCAGAGATTTTGTTACCGGAGGTAAAAATAATAAAATAATCAATATTAAATTTCTTATCTTCTCAAGGAGGGAAGAGGAAGAGAATTTAGAACTCAATGTTAAAAAAAAAGATTGTAAAAATTTTTTAACATGGAATTGGAAAATATTTAACAAAGTAAAAATATATTAAAAAGACACTGGAAACATAAAGGAGAACCTTCTACCCTCTTCTTTGGAATGCTGACTTCCACCAAGCTGGGCTCTGACTTGCCCTGAGACTTATGCCTAGTAACACTGATGTCTTCTCCTCTTTGGCCAAGCCACGGACCTAACCTTGAGAAAGCAAGATTTATTCCAATTATCTCTGCATCTGGGCTTTGGGATATGAATGGTAATTAGTCAGCAACTAGTAGGCTCTGCCTAGTGTGGATTGGTGGCAGAGATAGTTCATCCTTAAGCATTTATTAAGTGCTTTCTATGTGCTGAGCTCTAGGGATACAAAGGAATGGAAAAGGCCCTTAAGAAGCCCCTTCTAATGGGGGAGATGGTGTGTAAGCAGCTAGATACATACAAGATATATACAGAGTAGATGAAAGGTGAACTCAGAGTAGAAAATACTAGTTGGGGGGTTGGGGTGGGTGGGATGGTTTATCAAAAGTGAGATTTTGTTTTTTTTGGTTAGGCAGTGGGGTTAAGTGACTTGCCCAGGGTCACACAGCTATTAAATGTTATGTGTCTGAGGGCGTATTTGAACTCAGGTCCTCTTGAATCCTTGGCCAGTGCTCTATCCACTGCACCACCTAGCTGCCCCAGAAGTGAGATTTTTGAAGGAGGTGAGAGCATTCCAGAAATATTCAAAGGCCACTGTGATGTCCAATAGGAAATCATATTGACTATGGAAAATAGAGCCAGGCTTTTTTCTGGTAGGCATTTAAAATTCTGGGAACCATTTAAAATTCTTAAGAGGGAAAGGGAGGAGCAAATTTTAGAAGCCATTTACAGGATAGTTTGGATGCTAGGCTTGTATGATTGAGGGAATTAAAAGTAAGAAGACCTCATTAAAAAGAAAAGGACATAATAATGAAGACTTCTGAACTTTCTTATACTTTTTTACTGATTGTAAATGTGACTTAAAATTCTTAAGAGTTCTTCATCCCTTCTTGGACTTTTCCCTGGAGGAACAACTAGGGTATCATGGAGATTTTCCAGCATGCCACTTGTCCCACAGTCACTTTTTGTCTCATTGGCATTTTCTCCAAGTGCAGAACAGAAGCTGACATCATCATCACCATCATCATCATCATCATCATCATCATCATCACATCAGCATCATCAGCTAGCCCTCACTGATCCTTCTGAATGGGAAGGCTCTCAGTGGTTCAGTGAAAGAACTCCTTGTGGAGACTTAGGCTGTGAGCCCCTGCTTCTCCTGACCCCCTTCTAGGGCCTATGGAAATTGTAAGACTATGACTGAGAAAGGAAGAATGAGAATTGTAAATTTGTAATTGCTAGGAAGAAAAACTTCTTTCACACCCACACCCAAATTCTTTCCATTTTGCTAATGGTATGCAAGCTCTATCTATAGTCACGTGGACCTCTGGAGTGCAGGAGTGAGCAGCATAAGTCCCATCCCCCTCT